GTATCGACACTTACTCAGTATCGATATTATCGTTCTAACACTATGCACAATTCGTATACTTTGTTAACCCTTTTAGATTTCAATGAGCTAAATTAACATTAGTTTTGAAAGATATTTATTAAAGACTCCAGTAAATTTATATTTGTTTACAATGAATTATTATAGGTTTATGGTGGAACAAAGCTTAAAAGCTATTGACAAAGAGTTAAGTAGTGTCTCCAACTGTAATAAACCGAATTTGTTTTTATATCTGCCTTTCATTTCTGAGGTGATATTACTGTTTTTATTTTAATTGTGACTGGTTGGATTTGTCATCAACCATAGTAAATGGAGAATGAATAGTTCGAGATAGAGTGCGGCAAAAATTCTGCATGTTACCGATTCTATCAGCATATGCAGAGAATGGCTCGTCAACAAAAGCAAGGAGATTTTTCGATAGAATGCAGAAAAATCACCACCATAAAGTACGCAGATGATCTCGTGGTCATATCAAGAATTGAAACAGAGCTGCAAAGCATAGTGAGCAAAATCGTCGAAGTGAACAAACGATAAGGAATGGAGATCAACATTGACAAATTGAAAGTGATAAAAATATCAAAACGCGATAAGTTACCGAGGATAACGGTAGGAAGTCGATAAATTGAAGGATGTGAATCACTTCAAGTACTTGGGAATCATTCTGACCAGAGATGGATACTACACAAGAGAGGTCAGGACAAGAATCAGAAGCGGCATTCACAAGGAAGAGAGTGCTACTGACTAGCAAACTAAAACTCGACTTGCAGATGAGACTTATGAAGTGTGACGAATGGAACTCTGTACGGACCCGACACATGAACTCTAAGAAAGGTCAATAAGAACAATCTGAATAGTTTTAAAATGTGGTGCCGGAAGCAAATGAAGAAGATAATGTGGAAAGATAAGGTGATAAATGAAAAAGTCTTGAGAATAGTAGGAGAAGAAAAATCTCTATTAAAAAATATATAAAACAGATGGAAATAGTCGTAATAGGAATAACAGACAAAGAAGGGAAAGAACACCATTAATTTGTGGTGGCTCTTGCACCATGAAGTACCTGCCTTTGGGCAGATTACCATTTATTATTATTATTGTTATTATTTTATAGGGTAGGGCAAAGCACCAAGATCTAATTTGAGTGTGAGCGGTTTTACTGTGAAAACCATACCAGGTATAACACAACAAATTGCACATATCCAATAAACAACTATCTGACTATGTTCAGTAAAGTTTCTAACTAATTTATCATTGTAGATATGTGTTTTTTGCTGCGTTTTTTTTTTAAATCACCTAGTCTATATTACCCCACAGGCGGGATAAATTGGGACGGCCAGGCAGCAAATAGGTTCCCCATCTTATAAATCTTGTAAACTTGATAGTCTTGTGAACTAAGCAACAGTGCTTACAACCAAAAAAACTAACAATGAAAGAAAATACTTTGCTATGGATGTCCAAACATTGCCGTTTTTCTCCTGATAGCGACGCTGTAAGAATCAAGGTGATAGCAGGTTATACATCCTTTTCTCTATACTATCAAATATTGTTGTTAAAATTTTTAACTTCACTTGTTTTTTAGATATCGGTAGTGGACCTTTTACACGCGGACTTTTGAGCCCCGCTCTACCCTATCTCAATTTTCCAGTATTAATTGGTTATATATTATTTCTAAAAACAAGGAAAACTAGTCGGGTATATGATATCGTGCCTTCAGGCAAATTGTTGGAACTTCCCGTACCGTAACGAAATGTATGCACATATTTATACCGTAACGGTCTAATATTTATAAGAATTATATAAACTAAATGTCAAAGTTGAAATTATTTGTTTAAAGTATATGAGAACTTTAGTCAGAATTAAAAATAAAATCTGAATGATTTTCGCAAAAAAAAATTTTTCTGAAAAAAAAAAAATTCCAACAATTTTTCTCTCAAAACTCGATTTCTATTTTCTGCACTCTTTGCTCTTTATCTCCGTAATTGCTGGATCTGCCTTTACCAAAAACTAATCAGAACATCTCCCTATCAATAGGAATCGAATGTTTTTTGAACCATTGAAATTGGTTGATCGGTTCGCCCGAAAACGTGACTGAAATATTGTATCCATACATACATACACATCCATTTTTTCTGAGGTATGCCTAAATGTTCAGAAACCTTCAAAACGTCGAGAAATGCAAAAGTTTTCAATTTCGATTTTTGGACGATTACTATAACTTACTCAACGGGAAGTTAAAAAATGCGAGAAAGTGACCAGTATGAGTCAATATTTAAACACATAACACAAGAGAAATGGGTGATTTAATGATATTTCACTATTCTCGTTCAAATGTCAAAGCTTACAATTTTTTTTTCTAATCTTGAATAAGTTGCATATTTGTATAAATAATGAAGAATGCATTTATATTCAGATTTATTACTCCAAACAGGTATGATCATATAATGCTTTTATATATTTATAATATAGAATTTATTATTTTATAAATAAGTTTAATGGTTATTATTATAATTATTTATAATGGATATATGATGTATTTATTTATAACTCAATTGCTATCTTTTACTCGATTGTTGATATGCAAAAAAGTTTTACTTCAATTGCGTATGAACATTACGCGCACTCTTTTTTTTTAGTTCAAAAACAGTACAATTCTTAACAAATGTCTTTCAAAATTTCCGATTTTTTAAAAACGATTCAGGATTGTGGAATATAAAGAGGACAACAAAAATTTCACTTTTCTGCTAATTAAAAAAATGGGCTTGGTCGATCGTCGCGCAAAACTTATAAACGCTAGAGTCCTTATCAAGTTACATCGAACGGTTTGTAAATTTTTGAAATTTAGACGTTTTTGAGAAAATGTCTATAAAAGGTCAAAATCGTCTTACACACACGCACACATAAATATAGTTTTTTCAAATTTGTTTTCATTCGGGTCAGAATGATTTGAAACGCCGAGAAAACATAAAATTAGCGACTAGAATTTTTAATAAACTTCTCCATCGGGAAGTTAAAAAGTAATTAAATTGTTCCAGTATGACGTAAGATTATTATAAACATTATAATTTTATATTACCATTACCATTGATTCTTTTTTAATATGTATCATCTCATAAACAAAAGTTTGAAGAACTTTAGTGAAAATCTTGTTTTGTCAAAACGATTCTTGTATGCATATTATGATAATGCTTTTTTTAACCGGACTAATTGTTGTCGATAGGCTTGTTGTTCGATCGGATAATCGAAAATCCGGGTAATCCAATGTATGAAGAATAATGTTGTGAATTTATTAAAAATAAGAAAAACACATAGATATCAACGAAAATCAATGTTTATTAAGAAATTAACACTTCCTTATATATGTACTAGAGATGGGTAACTCACGCTGGAGTTATCACTCCGATACAACTCCTCCCTCGGAGTGAATCCGAGTGGAGTCGTCTCACCGGATTTGTCATATCCGACTTCCCTAAACTGGTACTAAATCTGTTACTGCGTTTTTGCTTTTGGGAAGGAAGCTGTCGCTTTCTTGTCTCATAGGCAGTTTTATGACCTTTAAGGTATACGTTTTTTTCCCGAAAATACAAAAATATTACTTCAAATATACAGAACAATGAAATTGTGTTCAAGTGTGAATAGCTCCAATGTATAATTTATTGAATAGTAAGGGGTCATATTTCTAACTACGACAATCTTTGGCAGTGAATGACGGCAATCAGGAATATACATACCAAAAAATACACGAAACAAAATACACATAATCTGGTTTTTCCACAGCCTGAAACAACAATACTTTAGAGTGCAAAATATATCAGTGACGTCAATAGTATTTAAGCAGCAAAAAATATATAGTATTAAATTTTTACTTTTACACAATTATATAATTGTGTAAAAGAAATAATATGCTAATGGAACTACCCGATATAATATTAATTCTCGAATGGAAATAGCAGAAGAAAAATTTAGAAAGCAGAAGTATTATGTTTTGCTTTTATTACAAAGTTTACTACATTATTTTTATATAAAATGAATCCAAAAAATCAATTATTTTCTCATCAAAAGAAAATAATTAAATTTGATTCTTAAGTTTTGCGTTTTTACTTTGGTCAGCACTGTTAAAATTACGAGTCATTGAGTCGATCATGTGGTCGAGCGAAAAATTTTACAACTCGTCATTTATTTGTGAATTTTTTAGAAAAATTATTTTATTCATAACTTTTAATTTTATTTTATTCATAAATTTTCATTTCAAAAAATTAAATGGAATTTGACAAATCCTTAGATGCATAAACAACGCACTATAAAATACATTTGTGTCGAGTATTTTGGTTTCAAAGTGGTCGGAGTCGTGGAGTTGTTAAGCGGATATAACTCCTCCCTGAAGCGGAGTCAAATCCGAGTCGATCCGGCTTCGGATATGATAAGCCCATCTCTAGTATGTACATATATATTTTCTTAGATTGCATTACATACAAATACTAAACTGCAGCATTGTTTTGATCATGCAAAAATTTGAATTTAAAATATGTACATACATATAAATTAGTCGCAGTTGGTAGTCCGGATAATCGCAAATCTGGATATAAAGTATACTATAAACTTAACAAAATTATTGTAACCGATATTATAAGCATAGAAAATATAAAAATATTTATTGAAACATACTATATGAAATATGTAAACTGTGTTTCAAAATTTATGCTTCTGTTACTGAATACATTTACAATAAGTTACATATAATAAATTATTATTAATTTATATAATCTAAATTATTTTGTACAATTATATATTACATTACACATATATTTTTACAATTAAATTCCACCCACATACCCACATAAACATATAAACATTTACCTTTATATTTACACATGGGATTGCATCTGCCTCTTGTTGCATTTGTGAGACGACTGCCGCGTGGTTTCATTTTTCGACTTGGCTTGTGACCGCGCGTTTTCCGATCCAGATCTCGCGCCGCCGTACGCGTCTCACCTGCGCATTGTTGAATTCATGAACGAGGTGTCGCAGACCGCGGTCGAATTAGCTCTGCCAAAACGACTTGCGCTCCTGCTCCTGCTCCTGCTTCCTCCGCCGAGTGACGAATGCAATGCCACAGCTGGACTCACGCGCTTGCCGCAACAGAGGTACCGATGGTAATGTTGCCTGAATACACCGCTAACGCAGTACAAAGCGACAGGGTTCACGCAAGAGTTAATAAACCTGCAATTGATAATTGCCATTGGACTTAATTATTATATAATATATATATATATATATATATATATATATATATATATATATATATAAACAAAAAAGTTTTCTTAAAAACCATTTCTTTATCTATTTACTGTTGACGTTTCGGAACCAGGTATCGTTCCATCTTCAGGACATCTGCCAACATGAAACATGATCATGATAAGATTTAAGGAAACAACATACTTTTCTTAAACATATTGGTTGCTTAAATCTTATCAAGATCTTGTGTCTTGGGGGCCGTTCAAGTATTACGTAAGCAGATTTTTACAATTATTTACCCCCCCACCCCCCTTGTCATCAAAAGTAAGCAAAGCTCATACCCCCTCCCCCCATGCTTACGTAAACATTTTGCAATTAATGTATACAAATTTTCGTCGATGATTTCGGGAACACGGATGAAGCGATTTGAATAATTCAAAGAACATTCGATTCGTATTGATAAGGAGACGTGCTGATTTGGTTTTGGCGAAGGCAGGTCTAGCCGTTCCGAAGATATGGGGCAAAAAGTGCCAAAAATGGTAACTCAGTTTTTAAGAGAACGGAGGGTCCGATTTTAATAATTCAAAAAACATTTTACCACTATTGACAAAATGAAGAACTGATTATATTTTTGAGAAGGCAGGTCTAGCAGATATGGATTCTCAATAAACAAAAGTTAAAAAAGTGTCATTTGGTGATCAAAAATGTTTATTGGACATATTTACATCAAATTATCAGATATTTTATAGAGATTTTAATATTGTGTACACATTTTGTGAAATTTTTTTGGGTTCCGTACCAAGATTTTTAATTTTGAAGTTTTTATATGGTTTAGACAAATGTTCTCGATATTTTCGACAGTATGGAATACCGTCGAACTGATTTATAAAACTGAAAAGTTATTCGGTTCGTACTCGATCGCGAGGCGTTTTTGCAAAAGGCAATTTTGCTGTTTCGGAGTATAAAAACGGTTACGCAGTTTTTGAGAGAACGGATCACCCGATTAGATTAATTCAAAAAACATTTTGCTTGAGTAGACAGTGTGCAAAAAATGCATTTACAGAAAATTTAATAATTTTGAAAATTTTCAAAAAAAAATTGAAATTTTCAAAAAAGTTTAATTTTCGAAAATTTATCATTTTCAAAAAAACACTAAATTTTGAAAAAATAAAAAATAGAGATTTTTTACAAAAATTTGAGATTATTTTGATAATTTCAAAAAAATTGAATATTTTCAATAATTTCCAGATTCCTAAAATATTTAGAACAAACGTTTTTTTTAAATTCCAAAAAATGGACTCTTATAAACGTGCACATAAGTTGTTCATAAAATACGCTTGTCGCCCAATTTAAAAAGCACTTAAAAGTTTACACTATGTAATAATAATCTATTTGAAATTATTCAAAACAATTCTTAATTATTTTCATTCCTCAAATTTTTAATTACGGTACGGGAAGTTCCAGCAATTTGTCTAAGGCATGATGCCATGCGCTCTACTAGTATAAATATGTTAACGAGTGCATATAAATTTTCCTAAAAAAAATTACTCTGAGTATTAATTAATTAATATTGATTAAATAACTTAATAATCTATTAACTTTTCGTGGGGTAACTTACAGACTACAGTAATCGCAAAAAAAATCGAAAGAGAAATTTTTTATATATCTTTACGTTTCATAAGTTTCTGAATTTTGGCATACCTTAGAAAAAATCGATGTTTTTAGATACAAACTTTCGTCGATAATTGTAGGAACACGCATCAACCGATTTGAACAAAACACTCGATTCGTACTGATAAAACGTGCTAATTAGTTTTTGGTAATGGCAGGTTCAGCCGTTTCAAACATAGTGGACAAAACGCTAAAGATTGTGATTTAGTTATTGAGAAAACGCAGCGTCCGATTTAAATAATTCAATTCAATTCATTGTATTGACTAAACGAAGAACTGTTTTTGGGAAGACAGATCTAGCGGCTACAGAGATTCATTAAGAAAAGGTAAAAAAACGACATTTGGCGGTTCAAAATGATTATTAGATATGTAGATATGCACGTCAAATTATCTGACATTTTCTAGAGATTTTAATAATAAGAATAAATTTAATTTGCATTTCTATGAGTTCCGTATCAATGTCTATCAACGCAACGCTTACGCGCTTCGATTTTCGTCTCCAAAGCAGCTACGCTGCGCGATTGATTTGAAAAAAAGTTACAAATTTTCAAAAAAATTCCAAATATAAAAAACAGATTTTTCAAAAAAGTCAATTTTTTCCAAAATTATCAAAAATATTTTTTTTTTCAAAGTTTTCAAAAAAAATTTAATCTTTTTTAAAAATTATATGTTTCGGTACAGAAAGTTCCAGCAATTTGTCTTAATGCACGATGCCATGCACCACTAGTTTATTTATAAAAACGACTATATGTAATAGAAAGGGCGGCAATCTGGAGATAGCCCCGGGCGGCAAAAGTTCTAGGTACGTCACTGTATGTGACAATTCACATTTATTTTTATTCATCAAATCAGTTGACAACGTCAACTTGAGATTTTGTAAGAACAAACTTCATATTACTAACTTTCAATAACACAGTTATTTCAACTATCAGTTTCTTAATGTTGCCAACGTTGAATTGTTAAAAATAACTTTGCCTTCAGTTTCATGTCAAATATTTTACTTGTTGTCCGTTTCAGGACAGCTGTAAAAATTATTTAAAAAAAAAAAAAAAAAAAAACTATGACGTAATCATCATCTAGACCCCCCTGCCCCCATGTCACCCAAAATAAGCAAATCGATAACCCCCCCGCCCCCCTAAAGTGCTTACGTAATACTTGAACGGCCCCTTGACAGATGTCCTGAAGATGGAACGTACCTATTTCCGAAACGTCGACAGTAAATAAATAAAGAAATGTATTTTTAAAAAAACTTTTTTTATTACTTTTGGATTCTTTGTTTGAAGCTCTACAATATATATATATATATATTATTCTGTAATCACAAATATAATTTATTATTTATTGTTTTTGTTAAAGCACGACGTGCTATTAGAAGGTTATCCGAAGTTCTTCCGGCCTTGCTGTTAGATTTTGGAATCACGTTTTGTATACAATTATTTAGTATATAAGAAGTAGTTAAGATTTAGTTAGGCAGTCAGAAATCAGGAGAGAAGTCAGAAATCAGGAGTCAAGTCAGGCTTACTGTTTAGATACTTAAAAAAATGTAGTCTCTAATTATCTATAATCAAAAGGTTATCAAACAATTTATTTAATTGTAAAAATAGTAAACAATAAAAATATCAAGATCAACCAAGAACCAGAGTTTCTATATTATCAACCGCTCTGCTACAGCAACCAAATAATCTTCCATGATCACAGGAGTGATCCAAAGAACCACACAATTACAGTTCAATATATATATATATATATATATATATATATATATATATATATATATTAGGGTAGTCCTTAAAATGGTAAATGGTTTCGAATTTCCTTGCTCCCAGGGTCTCAAATGGTTCCAAATTGATAAAAATCAATTTTCTGAAAGTTTTAGCTCTTAATATTGTCTTTTAGATAGAGCACAATTCAATCAAACTTTGTATGGAAATAGCATGTAAAAAATTTTGAAAATTAAAAAAAATTTTTTTTTAGGTATAACTAGCGACATTTTTTTTTTTTTTGTTACAATTTATTTTTGTTAATCAAGACTTTAATGTCTTATTTACAAAATTGATATGAGCAAAAAAAAATACAAAAAAAACAAAAAATGCATTACATTGAATATAAAATGAAAAAAGTTAAAATAAAAATTAAATTAAAACAGTAATACAAAAATAATAACATAAATGAACGATGACGTGATGATGTATGCCGCGTACTACGTCAGGACGTATTGGGCTAGGTGTTTGGTAGATCGGAAGGCCATTTCTTGCTCAATCTTCTTATCGGTCTCTGAATCGCTTGAATTGTAGGATTTGTATGCTGGATTAATTTGTTGTTAAAAGATGAACTTCTAATCTTGATCATTTCGTTGACTGTTGAGATTTTCAAATCCTTATGTAGGCAAAAATTCGAAATATACCAAGGCGCATTAGTAAGGATACGCAGAATTTTATTCTGGCACCTTTGAATGATGTTTATGTTAGATTTGCATGAGCAACCCCATAGTTCGATTCCATAAGTCCAAATGGGCACTATGATAGTTTTATACAAAAGTACCTTGTTATCTCTAAAAGTGAGAATCCGTGTCATTTTTTATTGAAAATTCGACGCTCTGCAAAATTTTCGATTTATTAACTTCCCGAAGGAGAAGTTTGTTTTCATCAAAAAATCCGATTTGCTAATTTTATGTTTTCTCGACGTTTCAAGCCATTCTGAATCGAATGAGACCAATTTTGGAAAAAGTATGTATGTGTGTGCGTGTGTGTGAACAGATTTTTTGCCGTAAATCGACGTTTTCTCAAAAACGGTTGGACCGATTTCAAAAATTTAAAAGTCATTCGATGTATTTCGATGAGAACTAGCGTTTCTGAGTTTTGTGTGACGATCGGCCGAGCCGTTTCTTTTTAAATCGCAGAAAAGTGAAAAAAATTTCGTCCACGTTGTAGCCCGCAATTCTTAATCGATTTTGAAAATTCAGAAACCGTTCGAAAGATATTGGTTGGGAATCGTGCTAATTAGTTTTTGGTAGAGATCGGCCGGGCCGTTTTCTTGTAATAAAGTAAAAAAAAAAAAAAATCGACAATTTTTATGATTATTTTTTTGACGGTTGATACCAAAGTCTTCTAGATCATACTAAAATATTAAGACCTTACGACAACTCGTTTAGCTTTAAAAATTCATCAAAGTTTGCAAAAATTAGTATCGTTTTTTGGCACTTCTCAAAATTAGACCTTTGATCGTTGTTTTCTGAAAAACGCCTGTACCGATTTTAGAAATTTGAAATCCATTTGATGTATCTCAATGAGGACTATCGTTTGTCGGTTTTGTGA